AGGAGGGGAAGATGACAGAGAAGGGCTCCCTGGGAAGGAAGAGCGAGAGCAGGCTGACCGGTAGATGAGGGAGGAGGACAGATGAGACAGGAGAGGATGTTCTCTCGTCTGGAAAGGGAGGTTGCTCTCTTTACAACGGGGACAATTTTAAATGGTGAAAATACAGAAGAAATTGGAGACGAAGTAGTCAAGAAATGGAAGAATTTTTTAATCAGTTCATTGGTCCTGGTAAGGCTCAGGGAGTTGGGCCAGAAGCAAAGTCCAGAGCTGAGAGTGGGGAGAGAGAATGGAAGGGGTAGGAAGGCAGTATTTGTTGGTCACCGAGAACATTTTTAGGAAGACGATGATAACTATGAGTATAGTGCTCTGTTCAAAGAGAAAGCTCAAAGGTGCAGACATGTTAAAGCAACTCTGTCGGTGGTGGGGTAATGGGTTAGGGATGGGTCTTCTAACCCACCAGCCGCTCCTCAGGAGAAAGACGAGGTTTTCTGCTCTGAGAGAGATTCAGTGGCAACAATACTCTTCCTACTGGGTTGCTGTGACTTGGGATGGACCAGGCGTCAGGGAGTTGTTTGTTACTTCAAGGACCAACAGCCTGAGATCTTAAGGTTTTTGGTTCTAAATGTGGTCTTTGTGATATTGGTGAGTGTTCTGACTGAGCATATGAGTTCTAGCCCACTGCCATCAAATACATTCTGACTCAGTTACCCCAAGGCTAACTATGAGTTCCCAAGGCCGTATAGCTTTACAATGAGTGGAGAGTTTCATCCTTCTCCTGCAGAGCGACTTGTGGCTTTTTTTGAGTTCTACCCTAACCCCAAACTAAGCCCAACATAGTCCTTAATGATGTCAGGTCTGGGCTCGAACTTAACAGTTGTTAAGGATGGCTCAGTGCTGCGTGGTATTTCATTCTGTTATACATAGGAGCACTAACAGTTGGTGAGGCTGCACTTTGAGTGTCACTGGTGAAGATCTTCAACATATATGCAGAGACAGCTACACACCCCCCCCAAATACATCAGAAGAAATAACCAAACGTGTTCACAGCAAAGGCACCTACCCAAGTAGATTTACTTGTAACAAGAAAGAGTGCATTACAGCTAGCATACCTACTGTGTGCGTGCACACTACACATGCATGTATGTGTGTGTAAGTAGTAAAACTACAAATGTTTTAGTCTATAATGGTACTCCTACCATTTCCTTTCTTCAATTGCTTTAAAGGATCACGCACTGCATATAACAGTATATATATAAGGTGCCTCAATGTAATCTGTACTAGTCTCTCAAACCCTAAGATACAGAAAACAGAAACAATGAAGTAATTTGTTTATATTTAAGTTCTATTTTTAAGAAGGCATTAAACACACTTCGTTTACTACCCTGGCAAAGGATAGGGCTGTTTTTCTCCCCTAATGTAATTTTGTAATCTGATAATTCATAATGGGAAGAAACTGTTTCACCTACAAAGGAATTGATCCAACACAGATTTATAATAATGACATTAATAAACGGGCATGGGGGCGGGGGGAAGGCAAGGGACAAGGTCTCTAACAAGCCCACGTTTCAACATAACGCAATTACTTTTGTAGAGGTAATATGCTGAGCACAATATGTTTTCAGGTTAATAGTGGTCTCAGAAATCACACTTGCATTGCAACCGTCCCCAGAAAGCACACACACCACCACGACTTGCTTTCAACCTGCACGTGGCATTTATGTGCGTGGAAAATGGCCAAACACACACCGATGTGCAGTTAGATGGCATCTGCTCTATGGTATGTTTCGGTACAGAGCCTCGAGATTCTAAATTGCTTTTTTAAAAGGATGCCTTCTCACTCATCCTCTTTCTACAGAACCAGGGAAATAAAAGCAGAAGTCCTAAAAGGGACCGGACAGAAATACAAAGTGTCTGCGTAGCATTCGACGCCACATGTTGGAAGGAAATTCGATCGTAAAGCCTGCGCCCACTTTCTTCCCTCTCTTTCTCTCCAGAATACCCCAGGCTTTACGGATGAAGATCCCGCAAGCCCTGGGACAACCGCGCTTGGAAAACTAAAGAAGACTTCAGCTGCCAGCCTGCAGTACATTTACTGGATACATTCAGATCCTTCAGGATCCAGGTAACTTTGTATCTAGGAGTATTTTGCAAATACATGCTTTTGTTGCCTGATGTGTATGTAGATGTCCTTCTATGGTCCCCACCCTCCTTTTAAATGGAGAATGTTTGGTAACAATAGACATGCAAGCATGTGTTTGGAATAAAAATTACATAGATGTTGTAGTAATGATGTTAAAGACATTTAAGAGCATGGAGGTAAAATACAACGGGTGCCTTACCTGCAGTGTTAAAAAAAAAAAAAGACTGAATGTAGAGGGAGCTGAAATTCTCAATATCTACATTACTCAATCAAGAGGTTAGCGTTTATTCAAAACCGAGCATTTCCGGAGTGCAAGGACTAGAGAGTACTAGGAATAGCAGGAGCGATACTCTTATATCAAGAGAATATTTATTTCGTTTCGTTGTTTTAAAAACTGATCCATGATAACTTTGAGAATTGCAGCTTACTTTTGACAGCATGATCCTTGTTTTACTTTAATAATTAAAAGATGGACAAAAGAATTCCATGGACAGAGAATTCCATGCTATCTATTCTGCGGGGAACTCTGGTAGTATAGTGGTTTAAGCAGTCGGCTAACTAAAGGGTCTTATTCCAGAACCCACCAGGAGAGACGAGGGGAGAAAGAATTTGCTTCTGTATCGATTACATCCTTGGCTATGCAACGGAGTAAATCTATTCCAAGAGACACACAGACACATACATTATTTGTCATATTTAAATCTCTGCCTCTAAGGAGCTCTTGTAACTTCCCGAATTTTAGTTGTACTACCAACCTCACTGCATTTAAACATTTGAAATGGTTTCTGTGGCATCAGTCTTCATTTATCCTTGATGAAATTAAAATAGATGAGGCACTTTGTTCCAAATTTCAAAACTTAGATAGCAGGTGATAGAATGAAGATAATTTTCAGTTTTCACTCTAGCTCTAAGTAGTGGTAATAACCTACCCAAGCAAAGATAAGGTTTTGCTATTTTAATTTTGCTCCATCAGGTTCCAGCAGGCCTCAATGAGTTTGAGGACTGTCATTTTGGGGTTAAAGCTGATCTTCTGATGGGCTGAAAATTACGCTTCTGAGAGCTAACAAAATGTTAAGCAACAAGCCCTGCTGGGAATGGGATGTCTGTGGGTGACACTATCAGCAGGCAAAGAATGTGGTGCCGATTTTTGAAGGGCAACTAAACAAAACAGTGGCAGGGACCCCTCCCAATGATGAAGAAAGGTGCTTTTAAAAACAAACAAACGAGCAAACTAATTACAATCTCAGCATTTGATTTACTGAACAATGAATCTAACAAGATTGCTTTCTCACACCAGGGTCTTGTTACCTTTTCACCTTTTATTTTAAAAATCCAAAGGGCAGTGCTGACCCCTAGGAACTTTGAGTGGCACCAGATCAAACAAATGCACCGCCGGGGCGGGTGGGGTGGGGTGGGGTGGGGTGGGAGGCCTCCGGAGTGAATAGCAGGAAAAGCTGGTGGGGGAAGGTCGACTCAACAGGTAATGGGAATGACGGAGCAGCCACACTTCGGTAGATGGGTACCTGAGACTATTAAGCTTTGCTTGAGATGGAATGCTTGCTAAGAGGAAATACTCTGAGATTTAATTTTCTGTGCTCCCACTGACCGCCACACGACGGCCAGAAATGGCCACTGGGCGTGGGGGAGGGCTGTGTACAAGTAAAGTTCCATGGGGCGGTGAAGACACCCGCAGCTGCCCGGTCCCAAGAGTAACTCTCTCCCCTCCCTCCTCCCAGCAGCTCCAGAGCAGGCCGACATGGACAACGTCACAGCGGGGGCGGCAGCGGGGAACAGCAGTCTGTGTGCCCGACACGACAAGATCACCCACGTCCTCTTCCCACTGCTCTACACGGTCCTGTTCTTCACCGGCCTCGTCACCAACAGCCTGGCCATGAGGATTTTCTTTCAGATCCGGAGCAAGTCCAACTTCATCATCTTTCTCAAGAACACGGTCATTTCCGACCTTCTCATGATCCTGACTTTTCCGTTCAAGATCCTGAGTGACGCGGAACTGGGGTCGTTGCGAGCTCTCGTGTGCCAGGTTACCTCCGTTGTCTTCTACTTCACCATGTACATCAGCATCTCCTTCCTGGGGCTGATCACGGTCGATCGCTACCAGAAGACCACCCGGCCGTTTACAACGGCCAGCTCCAGTAGGCTCCTGGGGGCGAAGGTTCTCTCTGGGGTCATCTGGGCCTTCATGTTCTTCCTCGCCCTGCCCAACATGATCCTGACCAACAGGAAGCCCACGGACGCCAGCGTGAAGAAATGCTCTTTCCTCAAATCCGAGTTTGGCCTGGTCTGGCATGAAATCGTCAATTACATCTGCCAAGTCATCTTCTGGATTAACTTCTTAATCATCGTGGTGTGCTACACGCTCATTACCAAGGAGCTGTACAGATCGTATGTGAGAGCGAGGGGAGCGGGCAAAGTGCCCAGGAAGCGGGTGAACATCAGAGTGTTCATCATCATCGCCGTGTTTTTTGTTTGCTTCGTGCCTTTCCATTTCGCCCGGATTCCCTACACCCTGAGCCAGACCCGGGAGGTCTTTGACTGCTCGGCCGAGAACACGCTGTTCTACGTGAAGGAGAGCACCCTGTGGCTAACTTCCCTGAACGCCTGCCTTGATCCCTTCATCTACTTCTTCCTCTGCAAGTCCTTCAGAAACTCCCTGATGAGTATGCTGAGATGCTCCAAGCCGGTGACCCCGCCAGACCAGGGGACCAGGAACAAAGGCCAGAACGGAAGCGACCCATCTGAAGAAACCCCCCTGTGAGCAGGAACACGAAGGAGAGGATCCCCCGTCTTCGTGGTCTGAACGCCTACCAGGAAAGCGCTCCACCCGGTGGTCCACGCCGGCTGAGAAGTGGTTGATCCCTTTGATGTCAAGCCGCCAGCGATGGGTAGCTGCGTGGACCACCACCCTGCATCTGCCAGTGCGGGGTTGAGTGGGAAAAGGGCACAGCACGCATGATGGGCGGTGGTGTGTTCACAGAATGGACAGCCATGCACTAACACAGACTGCAATGCTTTTGATACGTTACTGACCAGACAGCCTCTTTGGAAAAGAACAAAAAAGAATTAACTAAGAGAGAACGATCAGTCTGATACGGTCTTTTGAAAACGAATGACAGCCGAGGTATAGACATCCTGATCTTAGTCCCTCAGTGAAATACCGATCTGTCGTGAGACTTATGAAAATTTATGTAAGTGAAGCCCACAAAGAATCACCGCTCACTTTTAATGCAAACCCCGTGGTTCTTGTTGCTGTTGTTTGGTGCCACTGAGCCAAGTCTCACTGTTAGAGTAGCCACGGTGCCACGTGCCACAGCAGTACTGCCCCGGCGCGTCTTCTGGGAAGTGATCTCTCTAGACCAGTGGTTCTCAGCCTTCCTCATGCCACGACCCTTTCATATGTTCCTCATATTGTGGTGACCCCCCCAACCATAAAATTATTTTCACTGCTACTTCATTAGTCATTTTGCTACTGTTAGGAATCGGGCGACCCCTATGAAAGGGTTGTTCGACCCCCAAAGGGGTCGCGACCTACAGGTTGAGAACCACTGCTCTAGGGTCTTTCTAGAGTTTGCATCAACTCGATGGCAGTGAGTTTAGTTTGGGTTTTGGCTTATGAATCTTTACAGGAGAGGAGCACCGGGTTTTACCTCCGATGGAGCCAGTCCTGCCTGGATTGGGACTGCCAGTCTTTCATTCAGCAGCAAATGCTTAATTGCCGCCCCAGTCACCCACCTCCCCCGGCCCCACGCCTCAGGACTTTTACTAACTTGGCACCATTTTTGTGTTTGGTTTTTTTTTTTTAATTGGACTGAGTTTTTAAAATGGCCCTTTCGAAGAGGGAGATCTGAAGGCTCTTTTCCAATAAAAGGAGCAGAAATAATGATAGTGGTCCCTAATATGAGATGTTATTTTCATGCTATTCTACAACTAAAAAATGGCTGTTCCCTTAACATTAGGCAAACAGATTTCACTAACCAGCACCTAACAAAAACAACAGCTAGCTTCCAACAACTTCAATTGGCTACAATGACATACGGACAGGCACATATCTTTATTAACTATCTTCCTGCGGAAAACTTCCATCGTTCCGGGGTTGATATGTCTCACACACACACACACACACACACA